ATTTTTATGATGTGGGATGTCAGAGTTATTGGTCTATAGTTCTTAGCTAATGCTTTGCTGCCACCTTTATGGAGTGGGGCTATATCCGTTGTTTTAAGTGACTGTGGAATTTCACCCATGTCCAAGCTCCTCCTCCATAGTGTACTTAGGGCACGCGAGAGGGGTTTCTTGCAGTTCTTAATGAAAACAGAGTTCCACGAGTCTGGGCCCGGGGCTGAGTGCATAGGCATGTTGTCAATGGCTTTTTCGAAATCTATCGGAGTTAGGGTAATGTCGGAAATCTGGCATACATTTATGGAGTTTTGAGGCTCATTCATGAAGAAATCATTTGGGTCGTCGATCCTCAGACCGATTAGTGGTTCACTAAACACAGAGTCGTACTGGGATTTCAATATTTCACTCATTTCCTTGTTGTCGTCTGTGTAAGTCCCATCCTGTCTGAGTAAGGGCCCGATACTAGACACTGTACAAGACACTGTACACTGTGTATGTTAGGCCCATACTGGAGTATGCAGCACCAGTCTGGAACCCACACCTGGTCAAGCACATCAAGAAGTTAGAGAAAGTACAAAGGTTTGCAACAAGGTTAGTCCCAGAGCTCAAGGGAATGTCGTACGAGGAAAGGTTGAGGGAAATTGGACTGACGACACTGGAGGACAGAAGGGTCAGGGGAGACATGATAACGACATACAAGATACTGCGGGGAATAGACAAGGTGGACAGAGATAGGATGTTCCAGAGAGGGGACACAGGGACAAGGGGTCACAACTGGAAGCTGAAGACTCAGACGAGTCAAAGGGACGTTAGGTAGTATTTCTTCGGTCATAGAGTCGTCAGGAAGTGGAATAGCCTAGCAAGTGTAGTGGAGGCAGGAACCTTACATAGTTTTAAGAATAGGTATGACAAAGCTCAGGAAGCAGAGAGGGAGAGGACCTAGTAGCGATCAGTGAAGAGGCAGGGCCAGGAGCTGAGTCTCGACCCTTGCAACCACAATTAGGTGAGTACACACACACACACACCACACACACACTCAAGGAAAAAGATCTTGGGGTGAGTATAACACCAGGCACATCTCCTGAAGCGCACATCAACCAAATAACTGCTGCAGCATATGGGCGCCTAGCAAACCTCAGAACAGCATTCCGACATCTTAATAAGGAATCATTCAGGACCCTGTACACCGTGTATGTTAGGCCCATATTGGAGTATGCGGCACCAGTTTGGAACCCACACCTAGCCAAGCACGTGAAGAAACTAGAGAAAGTGCAAAGGTTTGCAACAAGACTAGTCCCAGAGCTAAGAGGTATGTCCTACGAGGAGAGGTTAAGGGAAATCAACCTGACGACACTGGAGGACAGGAGAGATAGGGGGGACATGATAACGACATACAAAATACTGAGAGGAATTGACAAGGTGGACAAAGACAGGATGTTCCAGAGATTGGACACAGTAACAAGGGGACACAGTTGGAAGCTGAAGACACAGATGAATCACAGGGATGTTAGGAAGTATTTCTTCAGCCACAGAGTAGTCAGTAAGTGGAATAGCTTGGGAAGCGATGTAGTGGAGGCAGGATCCATACATAGCTTTAAGCAGAGGTATGATAAAGCTCACGGCTCAGGGAGAGTGACCTAGTAGCGATCAGTGAAGAGGCTGGGCCAGGAGCTCGGACTTGACCCCCGCAACCTCAACTAGGTGAGTACAACTAGGTGAGTACACACACACACACACACACACACACACACACACACACACACACACACACACACACACACACACACACACACACACACACACACACACACACACACACTCACTCTCTCACTCTCTCTCACTCTCACTTCCTCACTCTCACTCTCACTCTCTCACTCTCTCACTCTCTCTCACTCTCTCACTCTCACTCTCTCTCACTCTCACTCTCTCCTCACCTCTCTCACTCTCTCTCACTCTCTCACTCTCACTCTCTCCCCACTCTCTCTCACTCTCACTCCTCCTCTCACTCTCACTCACTCTCACTCACTCACTCTCACTCTCACTCACTCTCACTCTCACTCTCACTCTCACTCACTCTCACTCACTCTCACTCTCTCTCACTCTCTCTCTCTCTCTCTCTCTCTCTCTCTCTAAACCTCACTCGGGAAAAGGATCTTGGGGTGAGTATAACACCAGGCACATCTGGTGCACATCAACCAAATAGCTGCTGTAGCATATGGGCGCCTAGCAAACCTAAGACTAACATTCCGACATCTCTGTAAGGTATCGTTCAGGGCTCTGTACACCGTGTACGTTAGCCCAATATTGGAGTATGTAGCACAGTTTGGAACCCACGTCTAGCCAAACTAGTCCTGAAGCTAAAGGGCATGTCCTACGAGGAAAGGTTAAGGGAAATCGATGTGACAACACAGGAGAGTTAGGGGGGATGTGATAAAGACATATAAAATACTGATAGGAATCGACAAGGTGGACAGAGACAGGATGTTCCAGATATGGGATACAACAAGGGGTCACAGTTGGAGGTTGAAGTCTCAGTAGTAGTAACCAGTTACCAGTAACCAGTGTACCGTTGACTCAATGACCAACCGTCTCTGCCTGCGTCGCCGAGCTCTCAGTAGTAGTAACCAGTTACCAGTAACCAGTGTACCGTTGACTCAACGACCAACCGTCTCTGCCTGAGTCACTGTCTGAACCCATATTGCGCTGACCTGGCATTATTCAAAGACCCTCTCACATATGGGTACTGTGGGTGGCCAGTCAGTCAGTGTTAAGAGAGCAGAGAGATAGGTACGGCTGTAAGGGCGTTACACACATTATCTGTAATTATACGTACTACCAGCCTACGTGAGTATTTCTTTACCTAATCCACGTGTCGAACTCCCACATGATAGAAGACTCAGACAAATCACAGGGATGTTTGGAAGTATTTCTTCAGTCACAGAGTCTGGGAAGCGATGTAGTGGGGGCAGGATCCATACACAGCTTTAAGAAGAGGTATGATAAGCTCATGGAGCAGGAAGTGACCTAGTAGCGAGCAGTGTAGAGGCGGGGCCAGGAGCTGTGATTCGACCCCTGCAACCACATCTAGGCGAGTATACTCAACTCCTGCAACCACAACTAGGCGAGTACACTCGACCCCTGCAACCACAATTAGACGAGTACAATTAGGCGAGTACAACACACACACACACGAGACTGGTGCTAGTGGCCCGCTATCACAACCTGGCAGATCAGGCACTTTCTAGAGATACTGATTCAGTTTCCTTTTGAAAACTTAACATTTATTCCAGTGCTACTGTTTTTCTTAAATCGGTCGATGACTTGATAATGTTCAAGAATGGCCCCAAATGGCTAGAAGATATTGCATCTCTTAGAGTGGAGATTGTTAGTGAAGTACGTATTCCAGTCACAATTTTGTGACATATTATTGATACCTTTAATTAATAGTGCAGTACTGTATTACATATTGGAGTTTGAAAATCAGGTGATAGAACTTTTTTTTGTTGTGGCACATGCTTCCTCATCCACTGTCTGTGTAGCACCCCTTTGTTGAGAGATAAGATATGGCTTGATTTGATATGACAAGTTCCATCAATTAGTGGGTGGTAATATATAATGGCTGGGCCTTTAGAAAATTAATGAAGTTGTTTGGTGGATGTTTGGAGTGAGTGTAGTAACCTAGTTGTGTTCCATGTGTTAATTCATAGTTCCTGGCCCTTCCTTCCAACTCTTATTGAAGGGTTTAACTGATTTTGCCCTCCAGGAAACAATCATATCTACTCCTGAAGCTGTGTATAGCCTTTGGCTCCATTACATCTGTGGTGCATTCCAGACTGAAAAAAAAGTACTTCCTGACATGTATATGGTGGTGGTGGATGGGAAAAGTTGGTCATTGTTACGCATTTTTGAATACTGAATGAAAGTGGACATTCATAAGACTACCTTAATTACCATCTTGAGCATCAAAATAGTGATCTGGTAATTGCTCCAGGATCATCATCCCCCTACTGCCGGGTCACAGACCAGGTTTCCTAAACTGGTGAGATAATATTACAGGAATAAGGGCTTAAAACAATTCACAAATAACCAAACACATTAGAAAGGAAATATTAAATGTTTCTCCCCATCCTGAACCATTATCAGGTTGACCATTATCAAGTCAGTGGACCTAATAATGGGCCAGGACAGAGCAAATTGTCATCTAAAGTTTCTTCTCCAAGACATAAACGAGATGCATTTTTATCAATTACTTACTAACACTGTATTGGAGGGCCCTGCTTTACAGCGCTTCACTAATGCAGCGGTTTTCAATTATACCCCTTCTTCATTTATTCAGGCTTCCTACAATTAATATATTCACCACTCACTCTAAGCTAAGGATGAAAATATTTAAATGTAAGTAATGTGTGTACTGTATATTTTTTAGGCCTAGATCTATTGCTCACTTAATATATTTTTATATGCATTTAAAAAAAAAAAAGAGGAGCAGCAGCAGCAGCGGTAGTGCCACGAGTGCTATGCTTCACTTTACAGCAGTAGCTCGGAACCTAACCTATATAAGCTGGGCCTGACTACTGTATTCTGATGAGTATTATACTCTGCCATATTTTTCGTTTTACATTTGACTGTTTCCCACCAAGGTTAAGTGACCCAAAGAAGAATGCACATTTACCATGTGAAGAAAACACAAGCATTGCAGTACAGTGTTTTTAATGAGATAACATTTTTCTCTGTGCGGAATGACCCACACAGTCATAAGAGTTCACATGAATATTATACCAAACCTGTAATTTACTCTGTATACAGCAACATGTTGACCCAATAAAGGCTTCTGTGATCTCTCAATTATTGTCTGCAGTATGCCAGCAGGATCTACATTTACTGTTGTTTGTTTTTTTATAACATAATATTTATAAGTAGAATGTGTTCATGTAATGTATTGCTGTATTTTAAAATGAAATTCAGCATTAGTTATGTTTCAGTAACAAGTGCTTTTGTTTTTGCAGTGCAGCCAACAGCTGTCCCACATCCCCACGGGGAGGCCATGGGGGGCTGGCAGGTATAAAAAGAGGTGTCAATGCAGAGAACTTGGTCCAGGCTGCTTATGCTGCCATGGAAGATAAAGGTGACATAGCGAATACAGGTAATTAAAGCCACAAAATATGTTGAATTAATGCTCTCTGTATCACCACTCTTGTAGTCTGAACATTCTTATACAGTTGGGCTTTTGTAAAATGAGGAATACATTATAGCACACAGGAGAGCATGCCTGAGTCTCAGAAATGGTTGTTTATGTGAACTAGTTTTGTTATTATTAAGGAAGCTTTTAACATCTGACGCATAAAATTCCAAATTATTCTGTATTATGGTATAGTATTTAATTGGCACTAGAAGAATAATGTGGAATTGACTTTGACTATTAAGCTCAGAATAATAAATTAGAATAACTCAAGAAAGTTTAGCTTTGTGATTTATTTCCACCGATGTTGTTGAGACCTTCATTAGTGTGTGGCACACACCCGTCATCCAACTCCTAGGTACAGTATTTACTACTAATAGGTCATGGGCAGTAGATGTTAGACTTATTAGTCTTGCCCCACCCAGGTTTGAACCTGAGTCTTTTTGGTTGTAAGTGAACACATTAGGTTTGTTACCATGAGTAATAGGTATTATTTGACCAATTTTAAAAAAGGAAGGTATTGTATAGATGGCTGTTGAACTTTAAATTTCATTTAAATAAATAAATTACAGTACAATACTGTATTTTGGAATAATAATTTCTTCACTTAGTACCATATTAACTTTGCAGCTAAAAATACAGAAATACATTAGTTGTAGTGCAGAAAATTAAGAAAGTATATTGTACTATACATTAGGTCCCTGATTTATGAAGATCTGCATTTTGATACTGACAATTTGGAACCAATTACCCCTCAAGGTAGGTTCCTTGATGCATACATAAGGGGGATTACCAATAGACCCCTGGCTGTCTTCAAGCAGGCACTGGACAAGCACCTAAAGTCGGTACCTGACCAGCCGGGCTGTGGCTCGTACGTTGGATTGCGTGCAGCCAACAGTAACAGCCTAGTTGATCAGGCTCTAATCCACCAGGAGGCCTGGTCACAGACCGGGCCGCAGGGGTGTTGACCCCTGGAACTCTCTCCAGGTAAACTCCAGGGGTTCTTGATCTAGCAAATTGGATCTGTGCTCTGGTTCCCTGAATTGAGTCTGAATACCTTCCATCCCCCCCCCTCACATGCTCTGTATAATCCTACGGGTTTAGCGCTCCCCCATGATTATAATATTAACAATAATGGAACCAATTACAGTAATTGCCTGAATGCAGACTTGCCATTTTGGATAGCAGGATTTCTTATGTCTGTGGAAATATCACTTCCAGTGGGCAAGACACTATCAATATTCGATGTAAATACTTTACTGCATACTATATTGTATCTATTATGTTTAACTAACTTGTACACATTAATTAAACATTATTCAATGCTACATTATTTGCAGTTGAAAAGGAATATCATTGAATGTAAAATATTGGGTAAATATTCTTAGTTAAAAAAATATTAATGATTTTTGATGGAGTACAGTGTAACCTCAGTACTCAAACAGCTCTCTACTCGAACAATTCGGTATTCAAACGCTTTGTTCAGTAAAAAAAATTGCTCGGTAGTTGACCGTTTGCTCGGCACTTGACCAAACAAACACAACCTGCCAGAACTTTGCTGTAAACTATTTCATATTTCTTTGCATTTTTTGGTGTTTTTTTTTTATATTGTATAAGTCACCATGGGGCCTAAGAAGATTAGTGATAACAGCCAACCAAAAAGAAAATTTCTTGGGAAAAATTTGTTTGGTACTCAATCAGATCGGGACTCGAACAGCCTTCTGGAACGAATTAAGTTCAAGTACCGAGGTTCCAATGTATTATGGCTTGGGAACACATCTCCAACTATAACATTTCTGAGAAAATAAGTTTTGAGTTCTGAATACTTGCATTACAAATAATTTTCAAGAAAGCATTAACGTCATAAGTGGGGGACCTACTGTATAGAGAAAATTGTTAGATGAGTCAGGTTGTCATGGCTTTGCAGTCCTGTTGACAGCTGGCAACAACAGCCTCTTTAACCCTTAAACTGTCCAAACAGATCTATGTTCACATGCGTAGTGCTCCAAAAGTAGATCGATCTACGTTTTTTACATATTTTCAAATACAGTGGACCCCCGGTTTACGATATTTTTTCATTCCAAAAGTGTGTTCAGGTGCCAGTACTGACCGAATTTGTTCCCATAAGGAATACTGTGAATTAGATTAGTCCATTTCAGACCCCCAAACATACACATACAAACGCACTTACATAAATACACTTACATAATTGGGAGCTGATCGTAAACCGGGGGTCCACTGTATAACAAAAAAAAAACGTAGATCAAAGTTTTTTACACGTTTTCAAATGTAAAAAACAAAACAAAAAGATCTATTTTTTTTTACATACTTTCAAATGTTGAAAAAAACATAGATCTACGTTTGGACAGTTTAAGGTTTAAATACAGTTAACAATGAAGTCTGGACTCAGGTTGGGCTTCAGAAATAGAACTCTCATAAGTATGCCAGCCTACAAAGAATGTTTTTTTTCTAGTAAACAGCATTTATTTATTTAATGAATATTCATTTTACTAGTTTTAATGATAAATTTGTGAAATCAAGAAAGCAAAAATTATGTATTTTATGGCATTGATTATACTGTTGTGCATTTTTGTTCATCCCAACTATTAAAAGTGTGTGTTATAACCTTATTTGTAATAAGCATAAGCTGCCCTTAAACTGATGATTATACACTCACTTCCATTACTGGCCCATGGCCATGCTCTGGGAGTAGAAAGCCTTGTGAAACTCATCAAAGGTATATCTAAGGCTCCCCCCCCAACTCTTATAGCTTCGTTATTAACCCTTTCAGGGTTTCCAACGTACTAGTATGGATTATGCACCAGGGTTATTAACGTACTAGAACGCTTGAATTCTAGCACCTTCAAATCTAGCAAGAGAAAGCTGGTAGGCCTACATATGAAAGAATGGGTCTATGTGGTCAGTGTGCGCAGTATAAAAAAAATCCTGCAGCACACAGTGCGTAATGAGAAAAAAAAACTTTGTGTTTTTGGATTAAAACAGTGACTTTGCACTGTATTTTTGTATGGTATTGATGGTTATATTCTAGTTTTCCTGGTCTCATTTTATAGAATGGAAGACATATTACAGAAATTGAGATGATTTTGACTGGTTTCACAATGAAAAGTACCTGAAATTGAGCTCAAAGTAGCAGAAATGTTCGATTTTTACCAAAGTTCAAAAGTAAACAAATCATGCCAAACGTCCAATACACGTCAACTGGTGAGTCTAATATTCTTTCACAAGTGCACTGATATTATTTATGCCATTTCTACACTCATGCAGTAGTCTGCATAACAGTAAATCTTCTATTTTTTTGTGAGAATAAAAATTCAAAGTGGAAAGCAAAAGAAATGTAAGAGGGCCTGGGGACATGACTAATGAACAGAGAATTTGTTATTTTAGTGCCAGGAATGTCTGTCTTGTTTATTCTGGACTCTGTTTGGAAAATGGCATCTTCTGAAATTTGTGTGAAATTGGCAAACTTGCCAATTTCTAACCACTTTATTGGATAGTTGAAATTGGCAAATTGGTAGTTCCTTGTACTCATTCGATAGAAAAAATGGAGTTTATAACAAAATAAATATGATTTTTGTCAACTAGTACACAGGAATTGGCCGAAAATAGGGTTCAAAGTGGGCGAAATCGCCGATGCTTAAACATTGTTGAGACCGCTAACTTCGCGAGAGCATAATTCCGTAAGTTTTCCATCAAATTTCATACTTTTGGTGTCATTATGATTGGGAAAAGATTCTCTGTCATTTCATAAGATTTTTTTTTTTTTTTTGAAAAATTTTCGACCCTGAGAACGAGTTTAGGAGAGGGCCTCTCGACCCTGAAAGGGTTAACTCCCTCAGTGGGGGTTTCTTGATTCAGGTGAAAGACTCTAGATCCTAGGAATTAGCTATCCTTCCCTTCCTTGGATTATACCTGATTTTCTCACAGTCCCCAGGCTTTGTATGACCCTTGCCGGTTTAACCCTCCCCCATGTATTTAATATAATTTATTATTACCATAATATCTTCTCCCCTAATTGGAATAGTGTGGAGTGTATACATTCTGTTGGTGAACATGAATGTCATTTAAAAGCAAGCAGTTTCCTTATCCACAGTAACAGTATCAACAACACATGAAGAAAATCAAGTCAGTTTAACAACATCCAATCAGCAGTACCATCACAATGGCATCCAGGCATCCATAGCAGATGATGGCTACTTCACCTCTCCACATCCTCCTGACCAGCCCCACAGTCCTCCTGGAGCCGGTGCTAAGGTATGTCACCACGTTAACTCCGTACTTACTCTAGATAGCAAATTTGTTTTGCAACTCGGTACTCTGCATCAGTTTTCTCAGAATCTAAACCTGGACTAAGTTTAATATTGCTGTACAGTCATTCTACAAATTAAATATTGCTGTGCAGTCATCACTATGAATTCTGTATTGCAATACAATCGTTGCTACAGTTTTGTGGGGTAATACATTTCTCGAGGCTCTGTGTTTTGGGTATGGATTCATTTTGTTTCAAGAGAGCATAGGTCAGTAATGTATTGCTGTTTCAGAGAGTATACCTCAGTAATGTATTACTGTTTCAGAGACCATATCTCAGTAATGTATCGCTGTTTAAGAGAGCATATCTCAGTAATATATCATTGTTTCAGAGAGCATATCTCAGTAATATATCACTTTCAGACAGTGTAGCCATAATATATCACTGTTTCAGAGAGCATACTCATAACATATCACTAAACATATTAACATTGATAAATGAATGATGAGATTAAGAAGAGATTGGGGCATGGGGAAAGCCATCGAGCTAAGTTATTTTAAAATCTTGTTAGTTTTCAATTTAGGAGTCTTGTCCCTAGCAACAATTTAAGCAGCATTTGCCAAGTCTGCAATGGATGCTACACAAATCTATTTGTGGGTTGCCCATCAGTAAAAATATTGAATAATTGAAACCTGAAAATAAGGAAGTCCACAAATTTGTGAGAACAACTGTACTGTGGTTGTGGTTACAAGTATCATATATACTTTTTGAGTGTAATCCAAAGCTTACATCTGCTTAAAAAGAATCTCGGTTAAAGATTTAAATATACAGCCCTTCCAATCTGTTGTTTCATTTGTCTCTATGTCGGTTTATATTACATTACTGTAGTTATTGGAAGTTAGCTTTGGTTACTTTATAATCCCTTTCAAAGAGAAAGGGTGCCTTGATGCTGGTTAAGAGCTCCTGATCAAAGGAATTAGCTACTCTTTCTTGGATCAAACTTCATTACTTGCTGTACCCCAGGCACCGAATTACAAGTTTAGCTCTTATCCATGAATAAAGTGATCATTTTTTAACCAATACAGCCTCTCCTCACTTAGCAACGTACTCGTTTACCGATGACTCGGACTTATGACGGGCTCTCTGACCAGTATGCATACCTAAACAATGTATATTAGAGTTAACGATATTTTTTCACTCCAGAAGTATGTTCAGGTGCCAGTACTGACCGAATTTGTTCCCATAAGGAATATTGTGAAGTAGATTAGTCCATTTCAGACCCCCAAACATACACGTACAAACGCAGTTACATAATTACACTTACATAATTGGTCGCATTCGGAGGTAATCGTTATGCGGGGGTCCACTGTACAGTACATTAGTGTATAAACATTTAAAAATATACCAGAATTGTTATAAATTATAGTGTGCTCCCCACTTAGTGATGGGTTCATTTACCGACGTGGTCTTAGGAACGGAACTCTGTCATTAAATGAGGAGAGACTGTATTTATGTTTAGTTAACCTTCAACCGTATTATGCAAAAAGGAAGGTGGAGTCTGGTAGCAGCAAATGTATTGCTGTTGCTTAAATACAGGTTCCTTTGTTAGAAACCACACCATAATTATTTATGGTGGAGGACGGGTTGAACAGTGACCATAACAGACTAATTTAAGTCTATTTTGATTATTTTTCAAGTATTTTGATTACAGGAAGTCCACAACATAGAAGTTACCCTGTAAAACCAGGTGTTTGCATAGAAAATAAAAAGAAAGATGGCTATGTTTTGTACATTATTCTTGCAAATTGGCTGTGTAACTGTGAAAGTGTAGGTTTATATGCAGTAAATAATTGTTTAATATAGGTATTCCTGCCTCTGTGCAGTAGATGCATCACTGGCCTATGGCAGCTGTACTAGCTCAATTAATACATCAACATTTAATTCCACATAATCTTTGATACGTTTTGCAAATTGCATCCCTTGCATACAATAAATGTGTTACTATATATGTACATACATGTCACATACGCACATACACGTCACATACATAAATACCGATAAAAATGGTACATTGTATTGCAGCAAACTCACATAAAGAATGATTACTGTACTTGTAATGCTTAATGTAAAATATCTCCTGTTCAAGCTAGATTTTGTTATAATAAATAGAAGAGTTTTAGTCAGGCTATAATCTCATATGCATCCTCATTTATGTTTTTTTCCTCAGGATGATTCAAAGCCTCCATATTCATATGCTCAGTTGATTGTTCAAGCAATATCTTCAGCCCTGGACAAACAGCTAACACTAAGCGGTATATACTCTTATATCACCAAGCACTATCCATATTATCGCACAGCTGACAAAGGCTGGCAGGTAATAACATTTATTTCTTTGTATTATTAATTTTTTTCTTTTTTTTTATGTGTGGAAGTTTTCAAGGAGAAACTGGTTCACTATTTGTTAAAAGATAGCTAGCCTTTCCATGGTTGTGTGACCCAGCGAGCCACCAACAGCAACAGCCTAGACGAACAGGCAATCAACAAGGAAGCCTAATCCCAGGTCGGACTGTATGGACAGAATATCCCCGAAAACCTGTTGCAGGTATATCGTGTAAAATGTATTTCTGCTAGTCTTAACTTGCCGTGGAGATACAGTAAATGGTATAAGATATTGACATGATGGTAAAATAGATACAACTGCAGTATAATGAGATGCTTTATTGACTACGTTTTGCCTACTCTGGGTGAAACGTCAATAAAGATTCGCATTATACTGCATTTATGTGTATTTTTTCTAACTGGTCATACTCTTGATCTAAGGAATTGGATCTGTGCTCCAGTTCCTTGGATTGAGTCTGAATGCTTTCTATTGCCTTAGATACTGTATGACCCCTACAGGTTTTAACACTTTCCCCATGAAAACTATTGTATAATTAAAGGCCAGTGTGTAAGCCACTCGGCCAGTTGGCCACAGTAAGATTCATCAAACTAGGCATGTTTCTTTACACACTGGGCTGGAATTGTAGGAATCTCTTACCATGGGTTTAAACCTCACATGTTCTATGGTTAATAATGTATAATTTCCAATGTTTGTAGAACACCACCTTCTCAAGTTTATTCCAGCTGTCTACCATTCACTGTGTGAAAACATTCTCGTATCCTTTTTACAAGTGTGTATGGGTGTTTCAAATTTTGGCTTTTCCTTCTTTTTTTACTAACACATCGGCCGTTTCCGACCAAGGAGAGCTGCCCCATATTTAATTTTTTGAGTTTAGGTGTTGTACGAACTTGTGGGTTTTAGCATTTAGTTCTGATTGTAATAATAATATATAGGTTTAGAATTGCATATTTTTTTTTTTAACACACTGGCCATTTCCCACCAAGGCAGGGTGGCCCAAAATGAAAGAAAACCCCCCCCAAAAAAGAAAAAAAACTTTCATCATCATTCAACACTTTCACCATCACTCATACATAATCACTGTCTTTGCGGAGGCGCTCGGATACAACAGTTTAGATGTCCCTCCAAACTGCCAGTATCTCAAACTCCTCCTTTAAAATGCAGGCATTGTACTTTCCATTTCAAGGGCTCAAGTCCGGCTGACTATTTTCCCTGAATCCCTTCACAAAATATTACCCTCTTCACACTCCAACAGCTCGTCAGGTTCCAAAAACCATTCATCTCCATTTACTCCTATCTAACATGCTCACACATGCTTACTGGAAGCCCAAGCCCCTTGCCCGCAAAAGCCTCCTTTACACTCTCCTCCAACCTCTACAAGGACGACCCCTAGCCCACCTTCCTTTCCCTACAGATTTATACGCTCTCTAAGTCATTCTATTTTGTTCCATTCTCTCTAAATGACCAAAACCACCCCAACAACCCCTCTTCAGCTCTCTGACTAATACTTTTAGTAACCCCACACCTAATTTCCACACTGAATTCTCCGCATAATTTATACACCACACATTGATATAGCACGTAATGAAAGTAGTTTGTTAGATTATGTATTGGTGGATAGAAGGTTGATAGGTAGGCTTCAGGATGTACATGTTTATAGAGGGGCAACTGATATGTTGGATCATTATTTAGTTGTAGCTGCAGTTAGAGTAAGAAGTAGATGGGATGAAAGGAAAATGGAAACAACAAGTAAGAGAGAGGTGAAAGTGTATAAAGTAAGGGAGGAGGAAGTTAGGGCGAGATGTAAGCAACTATTGGCAGAAAGATGGGCTAGTGCAAGAATGAGTGGTGGGGGGGTTGAAGAAGGTTGGAATAATTTTAAAAATGCAGTATTAGAATATGGGGTAGAAGTTTGTGGCTATAGGAGGGTGGGTGCAGGAGGAAAGAGGAGTAATTGGTGGAATGATGAAGTAAAGGGTGTGATAAAAGAGAAAAAGGTAGCTTATGAGAGGTTTTACAAAGCAAAAGTGTTATAAGAAGAGCAGAGAATATGGAGAGTAAAAGAAAGGTGAAGAGAGTGGCGAGAGAGTGCAAAAGGAGAGCAGATGATAGTGGGAGATGCACTTGTCAAGAAATTTTGATGAAAACAAGAAAAAAATTTGGAGTGAGATAAACAAGTTAAGAAAACCTAGGGAACGAATGGATTTGTTAGTTAAAAACAGAGTAGGGGAGTAGTAGAGGGGGAGCTGGAGGAATTGGGTAGATGGTGGGAATATTATGAGGAGCATTTCATGCACTGGTCAGGGAGGTATAACATCTTTTAGGAGTGAAGAAGAGCAGGATGTAAGTATGGGGAAGGTGCATGAGGCATTATGTAGAATGAAAGGGGGTAAAGCAGCAGGAACTGATGGGATCATGACAGAAATGTTAAAAGCAGGGGGATATATAGTGTTGGAGTGGTTGGTATTTTTGTTTAATAAATTGTCAGAGTGGGATGTCTGAAAGTGCGTGGACGTTGTGCAAGTGATAAGAAAGAGATGATTGTGGATGTTATGAATGAGAAGCCGGATGTCCTTGCTTTAAGTGAAACAAAGCTGAAGGGGATTGGAGAGTTTCAGTGGAGAGGAATAAATGGGATTAGGTCAGGGGTTTCAAATAGAGTTAGAGCTAAAGGAGGAGTAGCAATAATGTTGAAGGATAAGCTGTGGCAGCAAAAGAGGGACTACAAATTTATTAATTCAAGGATTATGTGGAGTAAAATAAAGACTGGATGGGAAAAGTGGGTTATAGTAAGCGTATATGCACCTGGAGAAGAGAGAAGTGTAGAGGAGAGAGACAGATTTTGGGAAATGTTGAGTGAATGCATGGGGAGTTTTGAACCAAGTGTGAGAGTACTTGTGGCTGGGGATTTCATTGCGAAAGTGAATAAAAATGTTGTGGAGGGAGTAGTAGGTAAATTTGGGGTGCCAGGGGTAATTGAAAATGGGGAGCCTTTAATTGAGCTATGTGTAGAAAGAGGTTTGGTAATAAGTAATACATATTTTATGAAAAAGAGGATAAATAAATATACATGGTATGATATAGCATGTAATGAAAATAGTTTGTTAGATTATGTATTGGTGGATAAAAGGTTGATGGGTAGGCTCCAGGATGTACACATTTATAGAGGGGCAACTGATATATCGGATCATTATTTAGTTGTAGCTACAGTTAGAATAAGAGGTAGATGGGACAAGAGGAAAATGGCAACAAGAAGTAAGAGGGAGGTGAAGGTGTAAAAACTAAGGGAGGAGGAAGTTTGGGTGAGATATAAGCAACTATTAGCAGAAAGTTGGGCTGGTGCAAGTATGAGTAGTGAGGGAGTTGAAGGGGGTTGGGATAGTTTTAAAAATGCAGTATTAGAATATGGGGCAGAAGATTGTGGTTATAGGAGGGTGGGTGCAGGAGGAAAGAGGAGTGATTGGTGGAATGATGAAGTAAAGGGTGTGATAAAAGAGAAAAAGTTAGCTTATGAGAGGTTTTTCCAAAGCAGAAGTGTTATGAGAAGAGTAGAGTATATGGAGAGTAAAAGAAAGCTGAAGAGAGTGGTGAGAGAGTGCAAGAGAAGAGCAGATGATAGAGTGGGAGAGGCACTGTCAAGAAATTTTAATGAAAATAAGAAAAATTTTTGGAGTGATTTAAACAAGTTAAGAAAGCCTAAGGAATGCATGGATTTGTCAGTTAAAAACAGAGTAGGAGAGTTAGTAGATGGTGAGATGGAGGTATTGGGTAGATGGCGAGAATATTTTGAGGAACTTATAAATGTCGATGAAGAAATGGAGACGGTAATTTCATGCATTGGCCAGGGAAGTATACCATCTTTTTGGAGTGAAGAAGAGCAGGATGTGAGTGTGGGGGAGGTGTGTGAGGCATTACGTAGAATGAAAGGGGGTAAAGGAGCTGGAACTGACGGGATTATGACAAAAATGTTAAAAACGGGGGGATATAGTGTTGGAGTGGTTGGTATGAAAGAGAGGAAGGTACCTAGGGATTGGCAGAGAGCATGTATAGTCCCTTTATATAAAGGGAAAGGGGACAAGAGAGATTGTAAAAATTATAGAGGAAGAAGTTTACTGAGTATACCAGGAAAAGTGTACAGTAGGGTTATTATTGAAAGAATTAGAGGTAAGACAGAATGTAGGATTGCAGATGAGCAAGGAGGTTTTAGAGTGGGTATGGGATGTGTAGATCAATTGTTTACATTGAAGCATATATGTGAACAGTATTTAGAAGTTTTTATTGCATTTATGGATTTAGAAAAGGCATATGATAGAGTGAATAGGGGAGCAATGTGGCAGATGTTGCAAGTACGTATATGGAATAGGTGGTAAGTTACTAAATGCTGTAAAGAGTTTTAATGAGGATAGTGAGGCTCAGGTTAGGGTATGTAGAAGAGAGGGAGACTACTTCCCAGTAAAAGTAGGTCTTAGACAGGGATGTGTAATGTCACCACGGTTGTTTAATATATTTATAGATGGGGTTGTAAAAGAAGTAAATGCTAGGGTGTTCGGGAGAGGGGTGGGATTAAATTATGGGGAATCAAATGCAAAATTGAAGTTGACACAGCTACTCTTTGCTGATGATACTGTGCTTGTGGGTGATTCTAAAGAAAAGTTGCAAAGGTTAGTGGACGAGTTTGGGAGCGTGTGTAAAGGTAGAAAGTTGAAAGTGAATATAGATAAGGGTAAGGTGATGAGGGTATCAAATGATTTAGATTAAGAAAAATTGGATATTACATTGGAGAGAAGGACTATGAAAGAAGTGAATGTTTTCAGATATTTGGGAGTTTGTGTCAACGGATGGGTTTATGAAGGACGAGGTTAACTGTAGAATTGATGAGGAAAAAAGGTGAGTGGTGCGTTGAGGTATATGCGGAGACAAAAAGCGTTGTTGAGGCAAAGAAGGAAATGTATGAAAGTATTGTGTTACCAACGCATATGTGGGTATGAAGCCTGGGTTGTAAATGCTGCAGTGAGGAGGCGGTTAGAGGCAGTGGAGATGTCCTGTCTAAGAGCAGTGTGTGGTGTAAATATTATGCAGAAAATTTGGAGTGTGGAAATTAGGGGAAGGTGTGGATTTAATAAAAGTATTAGTCAGAGGGCTGAAGAGGAGTTGTTGAGGTGGTCTGGCCATTTAGAGAGAATGGATCAAAGTAGAATGACATGGAGAGTGTATAAATCTGTAGGGGAAGGAAGTTGGGGTAGGAGTCATCCTCAAAAAGGTTGGGGGGAGGGGGCAAAGGAGATTTTGTGGGCGAGGGGCTTGGACTTCCAGCAAGCGTGCGTGAATATGTTAGATAGTAATGAATGGAGACGAATGGTTCTTGGAACCTGATGAGCTGTTGGAGTGTGAGCAGGGTAATATTTAGTAAAGGGATTCAGGGAACCTGGTTATTTTTATATAACCGGACTTGAGTCCAGGAAATGGGATCGAAATACAGATATCAGGAGATAGTGTCTCTGAAGCGATCATGTGTGAAAATGCAAGGCAGTTGCATGACATTTAATTAAACAAATGCCTGCAACTAGTGGTGATGTTATTGAACTGAAGGCCAGCAAAAGTTGGTTTGTAAGACTTTAGAATTGCAGTGGCATACACAGTGGTAAGGCACGGAGAGGCTGCCAGTTCGGACAAAAACGCGGCTGAAAAATATGTGCAGGAATTCAAGGAGTACATAGACACTGAAAAATTAAAACCCCAACATGTGTTTAATTGTGACGAATCGGCCTGTTTTGGAAGAAACTGCCAAACAGGACCTACATTACACTGGAGGAAAAAGCACTGCCAGGACACAAGCCTATGAAAGACAGGGTAAATCTAATGTTTTGCAGTAATGCTAGTGGGGATTGCAAAGTGAAGGCTCTACTCGTGTATCACTCTGAAACTCCCAGAGTTTTCAAGAAAAACAATATCTTCAAGGTTAATTTGTGTGTGATGTGGAGGGCAAACAGTAAGACATGGGTCACTAGGGACATTTTCTATGATTGGTTTTATCATGTGTTTGGCCCCACTGGGAAAAATTACCTCCTGGAAAATAAATTGGACCTCAAGTGCCTCCTGGTATTAGACAATGCTCCTTCTCATCCTTCAGACTTGCCAGAGTGAATTGCGGGGGACTTGAGTTTTATCAAAGTCAAGTTCTTGCCTCCTAATACCACTCCTCTCCTCCAGCCCATGGACCAGCAGGTCATTTCAAATTTCAAAAAATTGTACACAAAAGCAGTGTTTCAAAAGTGCTTTGAAGTGACCTCAGACACTCAGTTGACCCTAAGAGACTTTAGAAAGATCACTTTAGTATCCTCAATTGCATAAACCTTATAGGTAAGGCTTGGGGGGGGGAGTGACTAACAGGACCTTAAACTCTGCTTGGAGGAAATTGTGGCCACAATATGTACAAGAGAGGGATTTTGAAGGGTTTGGGGCTAACCCTGAGGAGCCTATGCCAGTTGTGGAATCTGTTGTGGCATTGGGGAAGTTCTTGGGATTGGAGGTTAGTGGGGAGGATGTGGAAGAGTTGGTGGAGGGCGACGATGAAGAATTAACCACTGATGAGCTGCAAGAGCATCTGCAACAGCAAGAGACCACAACTGAGGAAATTGCTTCAGAGGAGGGGAGAGAAAGATGGAGAACGTTGCCTTCTTCAACGATTAAGGAAATTTGTACAGTGTGGACAAAGGTGCAAACCTTTATGGATGAAAATCACCCTGACACAGCTATTGCAAGCCCTGCTGGTGACTTTTACAATGACAATGTTGTGGCCCATTTTAGGAAAATCTTAAAGGAACACGAGGTACAGAGCTCTATGGACAGATTTTTGGTGCAACAGAGGCTCAGTGGCTCTCAAGTTGTTCCCAGTGGCATTAAAAAAGGAAGGGAAGTAACCCTGGAAAAGGACTCTGTACCTAAAGTCCTTATGGAAGGGGATTCCCCTTCCAAACAATAAAACACCTCCATTTCCCCTCCTCCCACCTCATCACTCATCACTACATCTTCAATAAAGGTAAGTGTCACTTACTCTCCATTTAGTACAGTATTTATTGTGCATGTATCTTGTTTTTCTGTGTAGGAAAATGTACATTTCTTGTGAAAAATATTTTTTTCATAGTTTGGGTGTCTGGAACAGATTAATTGGATTTCCATAATTTCTCATGGGGAAAATTAATTCGGCTAACGATAAATTCTGCTAAGGACAAGCCCTCTGGAACGGATTAATATCATTGGTCGAGGGTCCACTATAATGCCCTGAAGAGTTTTGGGGGGTTATAGGATGAAAAAGGTTAAGGATTACTGCTCTAGAGCTTCAGAAAGATGTACACAAAATACACTGTTGTCCCAACAAAAGCTTGTTTTGGAACCTGTCTTATTTTTCTTCACCTTGAGTGAATTATTTCACATTGATTGTATAGTTTCTTCTTTTTAATTTTATCATATTAACGTTTAAAAGTTTTGTTTTTAATAATCAACACATCTTCCTCAGAACTCCATTCGACATAACTTGTCATTAAATCGATACTTCGTCAAAGTCCCACGTTCTCAAGAGGAGCCAGGAAAAGGCAGCTTCTGGAAAATTGATCCAGCGTCGGAGAGTAAATTAGTCGATCAAGCTTTTAAACGGCGGCGGCAACGAGGTGTTCCTATTTTCAAGACTCCCTTCACACACCTCTCTAATAGGTTTGTAATTTTGGGGTTGTATCAGTATTTGTTTCCATTATAAATTCACAGTTTAGTGAGAATGGTCAGTTTTATATTACAAAAAAGACAATTTTTTAAAAAAAAGATCATAAATGTTAAAATGTATAAAGTATTTTTTGGAAAGTTTATAGTTATGCAGAGCATTTTGCACAGATTTAGACTAGGACTAGAACTGAGCACTAACAGAGTTATATAGTTGAAGGGAGACTTTAAATTTAATATTTACAGTTGTAATCATATTAAATGACAGTTCTGTATATAAAGATAGAATGGCTTTATTATTATTATTCTTTCTTTCAACACACCTGCCATATCCCACCGAGGCGAGGTGGCCCAAAAGGAAAAACGAAAGTTTCTCCTTTTACATTTAGTAATATATACAGGAGAAAAGGTTAATAGCCCCTTGCTCCCGGCATTTTAGTCGCCTCTTACAACACGCATGGCTTACGGAGGAAGAATTCTGTTCCACTTCCACATGGAGAGAACAGGAAATAAACAAGAACAAGAACTAGAAAGAAAATAGAAGAAAACCCAGAGGGGTGTGTATATATATGCTTGTACATGTGAATGGTGAATGTATTCAGATATTTGGGAGTGGACGTGTCAGCGGATGGGTCTACGAAAGATGAGGTGAATCATAGAATTGATGAGGGGAAAAAGGTGAGTGGTGCACTTAGGAGTCTGTGGAGACAAAGAACTTTGTCCTTGGAGGCAAAGAGGGGAATGTGTGAGAGTATAGTTTTACCAACGCTCTTATATGGGTGTGAAGCATGGGTGATGAATGTTGCAGCGAGGAGAAGGCTGGAGGCAGTGGAGATGTCACGTCTGAGCGCAATGTGTGGTGTGAATATAATGCAGAGAATTCGTAGTTTGGAAGTTAGGAGGAGGTGCGGGATTGTTAAAACTGTTGTCCAGAGGGCTGAGGAAGGGTTGTTGAGGTGGTTCAGACATGTAGAGAGAATGGAGCAAAACAGAATGACTTCAAGAGTGTATCGGTCTGTAGTGGAAGGAAAGCAGGGTAGGGGTCGGCCTAGGAAAGGTTGGAGGGAGGGGGTAAAGGAGGTTTTGTGTGCGAGGGGCTTGGACTTCCAGCAGGCATGCGTGAGCGTGTTTGATAGGAGTGAATGGAGACAAATGGTTTTTAATACTTGACGTGCTGTTGGAGTGTGAGCAAAGTAACATTTATGAAGGGATTCAGGGAAACCGGCAGGCCGGACTTGAGTCCTGGAGATGGGAAGTACAGTGCCTGCACTCTGAAGGAGGGGTGTTAATGTTGCAGTTTAAAAACTGTAGTGTAAAGCACCCTTCTGGCAAGACAGTGATGGAGTGAATGATGGTGAAAGTTTTTCTTTTTCGGGCCACCCTGCCTTGGTGGGAATCGGCCAGTGTGCTAATAAAAAATAACATGTGTGCATAGTGTGACCTAAGTGTAAGTAGAAGTAGCAAGACGTACCTGAAATCTTGCATGTTCATGAGACAGAAAAAAAGGACACCAGCAATCCTACCATCATGTAAAACAATTACAGGCTTTCGTTTTACACTCACTTGGCAGGATGGTAGTACCTCCCTGGACGGTTGCTGTCTACCAACCTACTACCTAGGATTATTATTATTACTGTTATTATGTTGTTATTATTATTTTTATTATTTCTTTCTTTCAACACACCAGCCGTATCCCACTGAGGCAGGGTGGCCCAAAAGGAAAAACGAAAGCTTCTCCTTTTACATTTAGTAATATATACAGGAGAAGGGGTTACTAGCCCCTTGCTCCCGGCATTTTAGTCGCCTCTTACAACATGCATGGCTTACGGAGGAAGAATTCTGTTCCACTTCCCCATGGAGAGAACAGGAAATAAACAAGAACAAGAATTAGTAAGAAAATAGAAGAAAACCCAGAGAGGTGTGTACATATATATGCTTGTACATGTATGTGTAGTGTGACCTAAGTGTAAGAAGAAGTAGCAAGACGTACCTGAAATCTTGCATGTTTACAAGACAGAAAAATTAGACACCAGCAATCCTACCATCATGTAAAACAATTAAAGGCTTTCGTTTTACACTCACTTGGCAGGACGGTAGTACCTCCCTGGGTGGTTGCTGTCTACCATCCTACTACCTAGGATTATTATTATTATTACTGTTATTAGGTACCTAGGGATGGGCAGAGAGCCTGCATAGTTCCTTTGTATAAAGGCAAAGGGGACAAAAGAGAGTGCAAAAATTATAGGGGGAGAAGTCTGTTGAGTATACCTGGTAAAGTGTATGGTAGTTATTATTGAAAGAATTAAGTGTAAGATGGAGAATAGGATAGCAGATGGACAAGGAGGCTTTAGGAAAGGTAGGGGGTGTGTGGACCAGGTGTTTGCAGTGAAACATATAAGTGAACAGCATTTAGAAAAGGCTAAAGAGGTTTTTGTGGCATTTATGGATTTGGAAAAGGCGTATGACAGGGTGGATAGGGGGGCAATGTGGCAGATGTTGCAGGTGTATGGTGTAGGAGGTAGGTTACTGAAAGCAGTGAAGAGTTTTTACAAGAATAGTGAGGCTCAAGTTAGAGTATGTAGGAAAGAGGGAGATTATTTCCCAGTAAAAGTAGGCCTTAGACAAGGATGTGTGATGTCACCGTGGTTGTTTAATATATTTATAGATGGGGTTGTAAGAGAAGTAAATGCGAGGGTCTTGGCAAGAGGCGTGGAGTTAAAAGATAAAGAATCACACAAAGTGGGAGTTGTCACAGTTGCTCTTTGCTGATGACACTGTGTTCTTGGGAGATTCTGAAGAGAAGTTGCAGAGGTTGGTGGATGAATTTGGTAGGGTATGCAAAAGAAGAAAATTAAAAGTGAATACAGGAAAGAGTAAGGTTATGAGGATAACAAAAAGATTAGGTGATGAAAGATTGGATATCAGATTGGAGGGAGAGAGAATGGAGGAGGTGAATGTATTCAGATATTTGGGAGTGGACGTGTCAGCGGATGGGTCTACGAAAGATGAGGTGAATCATAGAATTGATGAGGGGAAAAAGGTGAGTGGTGCACTTAGGAGTCTGTGGAGACAAAGAACTTTGTCCTTGGAGGCAAAGAGGGGAATGTATGAGAGTATAGTTTTACCAACGCTCTTATATGGGTGTGAAGCATGGGTGATGAATGTTGCAGCAAGGAGAAGGCTGGAGGCAGTGGAGATGTCATGTCTGAGGGCAATGTGTGGTGTGAATATAATGAAGAGAATTCGTAGTTTGGAAGTTAGGAGGAGGAGCGGGATTGCTAAAACTGTTGTCCAGAGGGCTGAGGAAGGGTTGTTGAGGTGGTTCGGACATGTAGAGAGAATGGAGTGAAACAGAATGACTTCAAGAGTGTATCAGTCTGTAGTGGAAGGAAGGTGGGGTAGGGGTCGGCCTAGGAAAGGTTGGAGGGAGGGGGTAAAGGAGGTTTTGTGTGCGAGGGGCTTGGACTTCCAGCAGGCATACATGAGCGTGTTTGATAGGAGTGAATGGAGACAAATGGTTTTTAATACTTGATGTGCTGTTGGAGTGTGAGCAAAGTAACATTTATGAAGGGATTCAGGGAAACCGGCAGGCCGGACGTGAGTCCTGGAGATGGGAAGTACAGTGCCTGCACTCTGAAGAAGGGGTGTTAATGTTGCAGTTTAAAAACTGTAGTGTAAAGCACCCTTCTGGCAAGACAGTGATGGAGTGAATGATGGTGAAAGTTTTTCTTTTTTCGGGCCACCCTGCCTTGGTGGGAATCGGCCAGTGTGTTAATAAAAAAAATTAATTATTATTATTATTATTATTCATGGGGGAAACCAGTTAGTAGGAGTGTGAACAGGGTAACATTTATGAATGGATTCAGGAAAGTTAGTTAGCAGTACTTTAGTCCTGGAGGTGAGAGGTGCAGTGCCTGCACTCTGAAGAAAAGGTTAGGATGTTGCAGTTCAGAGGGCCATCTGAACTGTGATGTCAGAACACATCTGGCAAGACAGCGATTGATTGAATGATGGTGAATGTATTTCCTTCTTTTTTCTCTTTCTGGTTGCCCTATCTTCGTGGGAGATGGCCGATGTTAAAAAAAGAAAAAAATCATGGTAAGTTCTTAACAGACCACATGGCAGTGCTGTATGACCCTTGTGGGTTTAGAGCTTCGTTATGATTACATGTACTATAATAAACTGACCACAGAGGTTACAGTGCATCTGAGGAATGGGAGGTTATCAGGTTTGATTCAAGAAAGAGGAAGGTAACTCCAATTCCTTGGATCATGGGCACTTCATCTGCATCAAGGCACCCCTCTTGAAAGGTAGATAAACAATAGTAATATAAGATAATAACCGTAAAAATAATTCATAAATTTGCCATGATAGAGGTTACAAATATAATTAGTAATGTGTATTAATGTGAAAGCTGATAAAATGCCTATGTAATATGGTTGCAGTAAAAGTATTAGTCAGTCTGGACTAACTGTTTAAGATAAAGGCAGATATATTTAGCTTTAAAATCATTAGGTAGACTGTTCCACATTTTAGGTCCTTTTATTTGCAGGAGTCCCTATTTAAGCCAGAAATGTGTATTGTGTGTTAGCTAATGGAAGGTTGCTTGTGTGAGTAGTTTATGCCATGAATTACAGAGTTAAGGGGGTTTTGTTTCTGTAGTTGGACATTAGGAGACCTGGTTGGAAACTCCTGATCCCTTAAAAGAGTGTGTATATGGTAAAAGAAAAATTCTGCTGTTGCATTCAGCACTAATTGTTGAATTTGGCCTTTATCGTTGAACAGCAGATCTGCGCCAGCCTCTCCCTCACACATTGGCATGAGCGGCCTGGTAACTCCCGAGTCATTGTCACGAGAAGGATCTCCAGTGCCTGAGTACGTGGACTCAGCCACAGCTTCTCCTCTTAACCCCCTAAATACTGCTGCTCAGTATGATGTTAACACTACCAGTGCACCACCTTCACCACCATCTCACCAGCATCAGCAAGGTTAGACCTTTAATTTGATTATACTATTTGTTTTGCTTTGTATATTGTCTTCAAAATTCAAATTATGTGACAGGCTCTTATCACATATGTAATTATGTAGCTCATTAATGTAGGTTATTTCTTTGTGATATGCCAGAAATGTTTTTTCTTGAATGCTGTTGCAGGTGCCACGTTAATAGGAACAAGTGGGGTCAGTGTTCAGAATTCCCAGCAGCTCATGTCTGCCTTACAAGGTAAGTGTATTGATATAGGATATCAAATTCTAAAAGTTAACAACTCCATGAGATATTATCTACTCCCACAGTAGTTATATCTTTCAGTCCATTGAATTGTATATCCTTTTATTTGTTTATTTTAAACTAATGAATAATGTTCTGTGTATTTACAGTGTTTCTTGCAAACCAACAAATTATGTACTCCTGTATTATCAGGTTTTTTTTACAAATCAGTGAATTAAATATTTTGTTTGGAAAACTTATAAATCTGAGAAAGGTATCATTGTCGAGTGCTGTGAACATATTAACCCTTTGAGGGTTTTGGTCGTACTAGTACGTCTTACGCGTAGGGGTTTTTGACGTACTAGTACTCATAAATTCTAGCGGCCTCAAATCTTGTGGGAGAAAGCTGGTAGGCCTTCATATGAAAGAATGGGTCTATGTGGTCAGTGTGCACAGTCTAAAAAAAATCCTGCAGCACACAGTGCATAATGAGAAAAAAAAAAACTTTGACCATTTTTTTTTTAATAAATCAGCGACTTTGCAGTGTATTTTCGTATGGTATTTATTGTTGTATTCCAGTTTTCTTGGTCTCATTTTATAGAATGGAAGACATATTATAGAAATTGAGATGATTTTGACTGGTTTTACAATGAAAGGTGCCTTGAAATTGAGCTCAAAGTAGCAGAAATGTTCGATTTTTACCAAACTTCAAAAGTAAACAAATCGTGCCAAGCGTGCAATACAGGTCAACTGGTGAGTCTAATATTCTTTCACAAGTGCACCAATAATATTTATACCATTTTTTACACTAATGCAGTAGTCTGCATAACAGTAAATCTTATATTTTTTGTGAGAATAAAAATTCAAAGTGGAAAGCAAAAGAATATAAGAGGGGCCTTGAGACGTGACTAATGACTAGAGGAAATGTCATTTTAGTGCCAGGAATGTCTTCTTGTTTATTCTGGACCCTATTCGGAAATTGGCATCTTTTGAAATTTGTGTGAAATTGGCAAAATTGTTAAATTCTGACCACTGTACTGGATAGTTGAATTTATAAATGGGTGGTTTCTTGCACCCATTCGATAGAAAAAATGGAGTTCTAGCGAAATATTCATGTTTTTTGTCGACTAGTACAGTGAAATTGGCCGAAAATGGGGCTCAAAGTGGGCAAAATCGCCGATGCGTAAACATCGCCGAGACCGCTAACTTTGCGAGAGCATAATTCCGTAAGTTTTCTATCAAATTTCAAACTTTTGGTGTCTTTATGATCGGGAAAAGATTCTCTATCTTTTCATAAGAGAAATAAATTTTTTTTTTTTTTAAATTTGGCCGACCCTGAGAACGAGTTTCGGAGAGGGCCTGTCGACCCTCAAAGGGTTAACAGGAAAATTTAAAGTTTGATTTTGGTGCATCTGGAATTGAAGAAAAGATATGCAGAATAAGCTTTTAATTGTGATAGTTTTTTTTGCTCTGCATGGATATTTTCCCTCATGTGAGGGTTCTTGATCCATAGAATTTGCAGTGACTACCTACAGAAGAAAATTCAGACATTATCACTTTCTCCCTAGATGTCTTTCCAGGGTATAGATATTGTAATGCAGTGATCCGCCCATCACTAACATCTACACTTAATAAAGTACACCTACTTCCAGAGCTCTAATCTGGCTAAATGATTATGCTGAATTCTTTCATAAATCTTACCATATCTTAAAAAAAATTGCTTTCACTCCAGTACTCATGTCCTTGCCTCTCCAAACCAACTTCACACCCATCAACTCTTCTCTGGATATCTCTCATTTCCTTCTACAGGTCCCCCTCAACATTCGCGAGGGTTAGGGGATCAAGAGCCTTGCGAATATTGAAAAATCGCGAATGTTTGGTGCCCTGATATATTGTAGGGAAATATAATACAATACTGCTTCCTTAACTTATTGAACCATGAACAGTCATAAAATACATGAAAATGTCGTAAATTGTACTAAATATATACAGTGGATCCTCAAATATCGAACTTTCTTCGGTCCAGAAGGCTGTTCGAGTGCCTTTACCGAATGAATTTATTCCCATCAGGAATAATGTAAATTAGATTAGTCCATTTCAGACCCTCAAAAATACACTTATAAAAGCACTTACAAAAATACATTTACATAATTGGTCGTGTTGGGAGCAGTTCGATTTTTGAGGTTCCACTGTACATGTTATGGTTTAATAACATGTATGTTATTAAATACCACTGCCTCCACCACTTCCGCAACCACTGCGAGTCCCTGTTACCCTCCCTCCAACCCCAGCAACTGGCAGCCAGCCCTCCCACCAGTGTGGTGAGTGTTTTGTTTGTTCATTATTTGCTATTAAATTACAGTATAAATAATGTAAACCCATTCATGACTGCACATTGGAATGGCTATTCAGACAGGTATTGGATGGTGACATCATATGTTTACTCTTGAACACAGCAAAGAATCAAACATTTCTGCTACTAATAATAATAACAATAATAATAATAATAATAAATACGATAGAATTGAAGAAGGAAATTGTACAAAAATGCGAGGGAGTGATTGACACATCGTCATTGTGGCTTTGTTTATGCTGGAGTGAGCATTAGTCTCCGTGCTCTTCCAAACATTTCACAATAATTCATTGTTTGGTGCTTGTAGATTGAGTGCGACTGGAGTGGTAGAGGCAATGGTTGAGGCAGTGGTATTTAATAACATATATGTTATAAATAATAATAGTACATGTTATTATTAATAATGTATTATTATTATTATTATTATTATTATTAATAACAACATGTATGTTATTAAATACCACTGCCTCAACCGCTGCCTCACCCACTGCCTCAACCACTGCCTCACCCACTGCCTCAACCACTGCCTCAACTGCTGCCTCAACTGCTGTCTCAACCGCTGCCTCACCCGCTGCCTCACCCGCTGCCTCACCCGCTGCCTCACCCGCTGCCTCACCCGCTGCCTCAACTGCTGCCTCAACCGCTGCCTCAACTGCTGCCTCAACTGCTGCCTCACCCGCTGCCTCACCCACTGCCTTACCCACTGCCTCACCCGCTGCCTCAACCGCTTCCTCAACCATAGCCTCTACCACTCCAGTCGCACTCAATCTACAAGCACCAAACACAATGAATTATTGTGGAATGTTTGGAAGAGCACGGAGACTAATGCTCACTCCAGCATAAACAAAGCCTCAGTGACAATGTGTCAACCACTCCCTCGTATTTTTGTACAATTTCCTTCTTCAATTCTATCGTATTTATTATTATTATAACTATTGTTATTATTAGCAGTAGCAGAAATGTTTGATTCTTTGCTGTGTTCAAGAGTAAACACATGATGTCACCGTCCAATACCTGTCTGAATAGCTATTCCAATGTGCAGTCATGAATGGTTTTAGATTATTTATACTGTAGTTTAATAGCAAATAATGAACAAACAAAACACTCACCACACAGTGTGGGAGGGCTGGCTGCCAGTTGCTGGGGTTGGAGGGAGGGTAGTAGGGACTCGCAAGGTAGCAGAAAACTTAAATATGATTTGGCGGTTGGGAATTTGCGAATGTGTGAAGCCCACGAAAGTTGAAATCGTGAATGTTGAGGGAGACCTGTATTCATCCTTGGTTTATACACTTCACTGAACCTATCTTTCTGCATCTTTTCTTCAGCCTCTTTTTCATTCTTTGATGTATGTATACTTTTCCTACCTGTCTTCTGGATCATGGCCTGATTATGTAGAAGCCTGTAAAGCAGTCATAAACAAGTATTGGCTCATAAAGCAGAATGCTACTGGGAAAAATTTAAATCTTGAGTTCTCTTGATTGTTCCGACTCTTGGTACATCACAGATTACCTTTTCTTGTTTGTTCCAGTTGGCAAGACTGGGGTTTTTCGGTATACAGTAGAACCCCCGTGTCCCCTGATTCAGAATCCGTGGTTTCAGTTATCCACGATTTACTGTGGCTGAAAAATACCCTTAATTTTGGATAATAATGGTCCCAAAGCGCGAAAGTAGAGAAGCTGACAGTTCTTCAAATCCAAAGAGAGACCTTGAAATGCTTCCCATCAGTGAATAAGTGATAATTCAGTACTTACTGTATATACCTTACCACTTAAACTTCATAATAGGTATGTATAGGACTTACATATAGGGTTTGCTACTATCCACTGTTTCGGTATCCACGGCAGGTCCTTGAAATGTATCCCCATGGATATGGGGGGTCGTACTGTATCAGAGGTTTTGCTATACATTTCTTATTCTTTTCAACATCTTCTACTTTCTTCTTTCAACAAACCAGCCATATCCTACTGAAGCAGGGTGGCCCAAAAGGAAAAACAAAAGTTTCTTCTTTTAAATTTAGTAATATGTACAGGAGAAGCGGTTACTAGCCTCTTGCTCCTAGCATTTTAGTTGTCTCTTAGAACACACATGGCTTATGGAGGAAGAATTCTGTTCCACTTCCCCATAGAGGTAAGCAAAAATAAACAAGAACAAGAACTTTTAAGAAGATAGAAGAAAACCCAGAGGGGTATGTATATATATGCTTGTACGTGCTTGTGTAGTGTGACCTAAGTGTAAGTATAAGTAGCAAAATGTACCTGAAATCTTGCATGTTTATGAGACTAAAAAAAGACACCAGCAATCCTACCATCATGTAAAACAATTACAGGCTTCCGTTTCACACTCACTTGGCAGGACGGTAGTACCTCCCTGGTCAGTTGCTGTCTACCAACCTACTACCTTTTATTTTTCCAACATGTCGGTCCAAAAAAGAAACTTTCACCATCATTTACACATAATCACTGCCTTTGCAGAGGCAGCCAGGTATGACAGTTTAGATGTCACTTCAAAAACAGTCAATATCCCAAACCCTTCCTTTAAAGTGCAGGCATTGTACAATGCCCCACTCTACAGTGGTGGCAGTAAAGCAATTGCAAGATTGCCAACCACTTAGATACTCATCAGGTGCACAACCCAAGGCATCATGGGTTTAGAGCAGGTCAGTCCTGCCTTTCACAACTACTGGATGCTCTGGTGGACAAGTAAAATGAAGATGTATTTTACACAGACTCTGCAAAAGCCCTTGACAAGTGTGGTCATGGAGTACTAGCACACAAAATGCATGATAAGGAATAACAGGAAAAGTTGGTAGATGGATCTATAACTTCCTAACAAATAGAACACAAGGAGTAATAGTAAACAGAGTAAAGTCAGAGGTGGCTACAGTGAAAAGCTGTTCCACAAGGTATGGTACTTGCTCCCATCCTTTTCCTCATCCTCGTATCTGACATAGAGATGTAAGCCACAGTACCATGTCCTCCTTTGCTGATGATACCTGAATTTGCTTGAGTGTCATCCATCAAGGACACTGCAAATTTCCATACGGACATTAACCAAATCTTTAAATGGGCCACAGAAAACAATGTGAAATTCAATGAAGACATATTTCAATTACTCCACTATGGAAAACTCAAGGAAATAAAAACTGGATCAGAATATCACACAAAATCCAACCACACAATAGTGAAAAACTAATGTGAAGGACCTGGGAGTGATAATGTCAGAAAATCTGATTTTCAAAGATCAAAACAATGTATCTACCACAGTTCCTAAGAAAATGATAGGATGGATAATGAGAACCTTCAAAAGTAGAGATGCCAAGCCCATGATGATTCTCTTCTAATCAGTTGTTCTCTGTAGGCTGGAATATTGCTGTACACTAATGGCCCCTTTTGAGGCAGGCAAAATTGCAAACCTTGAGAAGATACAGAGAACTTTCATGGCATGTATGAGTACGATAAAGCACCTAAATTACTGGGAACAGTTGAAGTCCCTGATTTGTACTCTCTGGAATGCAGGAGAGAAAGATGCATGATAATATACATTTAGACAATCCTAGAGGGACAAGTCCCAGTTCTTCACACAAAAATCATTCCCTATGAAAGCAAAAGCCTTGGCAGGCGATGCAACACCCCCCAATGAAAAGCAGGGAAGCCATGAGTATGCTAAGTGACAACAAAGTAAGTATTAGGGCCCAAGACTGTTCAACTGCCTTCCAGCATACATAAGGGGGATTACCAATAAACCCCTGGCTGTCTTCAAGGAGGAGCTGGACAGGCATCTAAAGTCAGTACCTGACCAGCTGGGCTGCAATTTGTACGTTGGTTTACGTGCGGTCGTCAGTAAAAACCTGGTTGATCAGGTCCTGATCCATTGCAAGGCCTGTTCATAGACCAGGCCACAGGGGCATTGATCCCTGAAACACCCTCCAGGTATACTTCAGGTATTACGCTCTTAACCCGTAAACGGTCCAAGCAGATCTACATTCATATGCGTAGTGCTCCAAAAGTGGATCTACTTTTTTTACATATTTTTAAATATAACAAAAAAAACGTAGATCAAAGTTTTTTACACGTTTTCAAATGTAAAAAAAAAAAAAAGATCTACTTTTTTTACATACTTTCAAATGTTGAAAAAAAGGTATATATACGTTTGGACCGTTTACGGGTTAATACATTGGCCAACTCTCACCAATTCAGGGTGGCCCAAATAAGATATATTCATCACTATAAAATGGTATAATGAAGAAAATGTAGATATGGTGCCTCTCATCCTAAAAAATTATCCCAGTACAAGATTATTCTGTAACATAAGTTTTCTCTTCATATTTGTTCGCAGTATGTCATTTCATCAAAAGTAATATAAAAGATTGTACATTTAAGTAAAATAGAGTTCCCGAGGAGAAAAACACTGCATTTATGATTTATACACAGTGCTCACTCGTGTCCAAATGGTATGTGGTGAAATTATAACAATATTGTTTTTTCCTCAGGCAAGTACCTGATAGCCACTGCTGGGGGCCCTAGTGGGGCAGGGTCTGGGAAGTCTGGAGAGCTTAAACAAATTCAACTAACAAGTGGTGGCCATGGAGAGCCTACTTCCTTCACCCAAGGACAGGTCATAGTCCAGACCTCAACAGATCCCAGCACCTTCACTCATACTCAGGTTATTTTGCCCACGCATCTCAACAAATATGGGTAAGTTACTCTTGACATTTGAGGCAATATTTCTGAAAATGATTAATGTGAATGCATTTGTAGGTATATTGAGTTAGTCGTTCACTTTATTTTTTATTTTATTTTTTCAACAAGTCGGCCGTCTCCCACCGAGGCAGGGTGACCCCAAAAAAAGAAAGAAAATCCCAAAAAGAAAACACTTTCATCATCATTCAACACTTTCACCACACTTGCACATTATCACTGTTTTTGCAGAGGTGCTCAGAATACAACAGTTTAGAAGCATACACATATAAAGATACACAACATATCCCTCCAAACTGCCAATATCCCAAACCCCTCCTTTAAAGTGCAGGCATTGTACTTCCCATTTCCAGGACTCAAGTCCGACTATATGAAAATAACCGGTTTCCCTGAATCCCTTCACTAAATATTACCCTGCTCACACTCCAACAGATCGTCAGGTCCCAAGTACCATTCGTCTCCATTCACTCCTACCTAACACTCTCACGCACGCTTGCTGGAAGTCCAAGCCCCTTGCCCACAAAACCTCCTTTACCCCCTCTCTCCAACCCTTTCGAGGACGACCTCTACCCCACCTTCCTTCCCCTATAAATTTATATGCTTTCCATGTCATTCTACTTTGATCCATTCTCTCTAAATGACCAAACCACCTCAACAACCCCTCTTCTGCCCTCTGACTAATACTTTTATTAACTCCACACCTTTTCCTAATTTCCACACTTCGAATTTTCTGCATAATATTTACATCACACATTGCCCTTAAACAGGACATCTCCACTGCCTCCAACTGTCTCCTCGCTGCTGCATTTACCACCCAAGCTTCACATCCATATAAGAGTGTTGGTACTACTATTCTTTCATACATTCCCTTCTTTGCCTCCATAGATAACGTTTTTTGACTCCACATATACCTCAATGCGCCACTCACCTTTTTTTCCCTCATCAATTCTATGATTAACCTCATCCTTCATAAATCCATCCGCCGACACGTTAACTCCCAAGTATCTGAAAAGATTCACTTCTTCCATACTCCTCCTCCCCAATTTGATATCCAATTTTTCTTTATCTAAATCATTTGACACCCTCATCACCTTACTCTTTTCTATGTTCACTTTCAACTTTCTACCTTTACACACATTCCCAAACTCATCCACTAACCTTTGCAATTTTTCTTTAGAATCTCCGATAAGCACAGTATCATCAGCAAAAAGTAACTGTGTCAATTCCCATTTTGAATTTGATTCCCCAAAATTTAATCCCACCCCTCTCCCGAACACCCTAGCATTTACTTCCTTTACAACCCCATCTATAAATATATTAAACAACCATGGTGACATTACACATCCCTGTCTAAGACCTACTTTTACCGGGAAGTAGTCTCCCTCTCTTCTACACACCCTAACCTGAGTCTCACTATCCTCATAAAAACTCTTTACAGCATTTAATAACTTACCACCTATTCCATATACTTGCATCATCTGCCACATTGCTCCTCTGTCCACTCTATCATATGCCTTTTCTAAATCCATAAATGCAATAAAAACTTCCCTACCTTTATCTAAATACTGTTCACATATATGCTTCAATGTAAACACTTGATCTACACATCCTCTACCCACTTTGAAACCTCCTTGCTCATCCACAATCCTACATTCTGTCTTACCTCTAATTCTTTCAATTATAACCCTACCGTACACTTTTCCTGGTATACTCAGTAAACTTATTCCTCTATAATTTTTACAGTCTCTTTTGTCCCCTTTCCCTTTATATAAAGGGACTATACATGCTCTCCGCCAATCCCTAGGTACCTTCCCCTCTTTCATACATTTATTAAACAAAAGTACCAACCACTCCAACACTATATCCCCCCCCTGCTTTTAACATTTCTGTCATGATCCCATCAGTTCCAGCTGCTTTACCCCCTTTCATTTTACGTAATGCCTCACGTACCTCCCCCACACTTACATTCTGCTCTTCTTCACTCCTAAAAGATGGTATACCTCCCTGACCAGTGCATGAAATTACTGCCTGTTTCTTCCTTAACATTTAAAAGTTCCTCAAAATATTCTCGCCATCTACCTAATACCTCCATCTCCCCATCTACTAACTCCCCTACTCTGTTTTTAACTGACAAATCCATACTTTCCCTAGGCTTTCTTAACTTGTTTAACTCACTCCAAAATTTTTTCTTATTTTCATTAAAATATCTTGACAGTGCCTCTCCCACTCTATCATCTACTCTCCTTTTGCACTCTCTCACCACTCTCTTTACCTTTCTTTTACTCTCCATATACTCTGCTCTTCTTATAACACATTAAATAACTTATTAAATCTAGAAATGTATTACTTTTTAGTTTATTAGAAAATCAAATGCATCCTTATGTCTTACACAGTGGACCTTCAGTGATATTTTGAGCATTTATATTGTGTGTTGAGTTACTCATTATTGCAAAATATTTGCTGTGTAAATTCATCAGAAAATGTTCCCTTCATATTTCTCTTAATATTCTAATTGCATTTTATTTATTATTATTAACGCATCGGCTGTTTCCCACCAAGACAGAGTGGCCCGAAAAAGAAAAACTTCCATCATCATTCACTCTATCACTGTCTTGCCATAGGCATGCCTACACTACAGTTATAAAACTGCAACTTAAACACCCCTCCTTCAGAGTACAGACACTGTACTTCCCATCTCCAGGAGATCATAGCCATCCTATTGACTGGTCTTCTGCTAAAACTGTCTTCCCTACTTCCAACTCGAACAGTCGCCGTCTAGTTGAATCCTCTCTAATACACAACTTTCCTTGTATGAACCTTAGCCCTGGCTTCGTCTCTGTAGATGCCTTCCTCTCCCACTACATTGTAAAATGCTCCAAACTTCAGAACACCCGTGACTTAACCTGAATCCTCATTTTTTCTTTTTCTTTTTCTTCTTCTTCTTCTTCCTCTTCCCCTTTCCTCTTTCCTTTTCTCCTCTGGGTTGTCTTTCTCTCTCCTGTCTCGTGTTTCTGTTCCTTCATTTATATTTCACCACTTCCCCTTTCACGCACCTCTGTGCGCTTGCTCTCCCTCTGTGGGCATCTAGCTCTCTTGCAGTGCTCCCCTTCCTTTGTATTTGACTGGCTCGTCATCCTTATTTCCCACTTCTACCACTACCACTACTACTACCTCTTCTTCTTCTACTACTACTACTACAACTACTGATGAAATTAAGACACATGTGCGGCGTCTGGTTGTCTTTGTTGTGGACGTTTCGCCATCTAGTGGCTGGCTGGATGGTGAAATGTCTATGATGGGGATGCCCGGGTGTTGTGCATGTGTCTTAATTTCATCTTGTCGGTATTATATACAACTCTTGTACTACTACTACTACTACTACCCCACCACCACCACCTCTTCCTGCCTATACAGTGGACCCCCGGTTAACGATATTTTTTCACTCCAGAAGTATGTTCAGGTGCCAGTACTGACCGAATTTGTTCCTATAAGGAATATTATGAATTAGATTAGTCCATTTCAGACCCCGAAACATACACGTACAAACGCACTTACATAAATACACTTACATAATTGGTCACATTCGGAGGTGATCGTTATGCAGGGGTCAACTGTATATAGCCGTCCTGCTCCACCTCTGGTTAGTGTGACTTTGTCAATGGTCCAAGTCGGACCGAAACGTCGTCGTAAGCTTCTCTCTTTTATGTGCGGGTTATTTGTGTTTCATTATGTGAATGAAAAATCAAAATGGAATTTATTTGTAAAGCCTCAAAACGTAACTAATGAACAGAGGAAATGTTAGTTTAGTGCCAGGAATACCTACATTGTTTATTCTGGACCCTATTTTGAAATTGGATTATTTTGAACTTTGTGTTAAATTGGCCAAATTACCAATTTCCTATCACTTTATTTTGTAGTTGAAACAGTTGACTTGTCGATTTCTTGTGCTCAATCGATAGAATAGAAGTAATACTAGTGAAATAGCTAAGAATTTGGTCGACTGGAATAATGTAATTGGCCTAAAATGGGAGTCAAAGTTAGCAAAATCGCCGGTTCGTAAATATCGCTGACACATCAAAATTCGCGAGAGCATAATTTCGTCAATTTTCCATCAAATTTTGCACTTTGTTTTATTTATTTATTTTTTTTTTCAACAAGTTGGTCGTCTCCCACCGAGGCAGGGTGACCCAAAAAAGAAAGAAAATCCCCAAAAAGAAAATACTTCCATCATCATTCAACACTTTCACCACACTCACACATTATCATTGCTTTTGCAGAGGTGCTCAGAATACAACAGTTTAAAAGCATATACGTATAAAGATACACAACATATCACTCCAAACTGCCAATATCCCAAACCCCCCCTTTTAAAGTGAAAGGCATTGTACCCCCTTTTCCCGGGATCAAGTCCACTAAAAAGAAAATAAAACCGGTTTCCCTAAAATCCCTTCATAAATATTACCCTGCCACCCCTCCAACAGATCGTCGGGTCCCAAGAAACTTTTCTTCTCCATTCATTTTACTAAAAACGTAAATCCCCGCTTGCTTGAAACCCAACCCCCTCCCCCCCAAAAAACCCCCCTTTTAAACCCCCCTCTTTCCCCAACCCTTTCGGGGAAAGACCCCCTACCCCTCTTTTTTTCCCCCCAATAGATTTATATTTTTTCCCAGAAAATTTCTACTTTGTTCCTTTTTTCTCAAAATTTTGGCCCAAAACCCACCCCCAAAAACCCCCTCTTCGGGCCCTCTGACTAATGTTTTTAAATTAACTCCACACCTTCTCCAATTTCCCCCACACTCCGAATTTTTTTTTTGCATAATACAGTGGACCCCCGCATAACGTTTACCTTAAATGTGCCCAAATTTTAAGTAATTTGTATTTATGAAAAGTGCTTTTTGTACTTTTATTTTTGGGGGTCTAAAAATGGACTAATCTATTTTCACAATATTTTTTGGGGGGAACAAATTCGGTCAGTACTGGCCCCTAAAACATACTT